ATGGAGGCCACGGGCGGCCGGGGCGCCGACGTGATTTTCGAGACGGGCGGCGCGCGCACCCTCCGCAAGAGCTTCGAGAGCGTGGCCTTTGGCGGCGTCATCAACTGCATCGGGTACCTGTCGGGCAAGGAGGACGAGGACCGCCCCGGCGGCGACGGGCTGCAGAGGCTCAATGTCAATGTGCTGGCGCTGCGGCGCAACGTGACGCTGCGCGGCATCATCAACGGCGGCAAGGACCGCTTCGAGGAGATGCTGGGCTTTTACGAGGACAAGAAGATTCGGCCCGTCGTGGGCAGGGTCTTTGCGTTTGCCGACGCAAAGGAGGCCATGGCGTACCTGGCCAGCGGGAAGCACTTTGGCAAAGTGGTGATCAAGGTTGGCGATGCTAGTTAGGGGCTGTTGTGTGCGTGGCGTGTTAGATGGATGCGGAAGCATGGGATTCGTGGCGTTGTTTGACAAACACGGTAGAACTGCATGTGGGTGTAAAACGTAGACGGCTAGGCTTATGGCTATACTAGGTGGAAAATTCTATATCAAGACGGGGAAACAAATGAAAAAAGAAGAGAAAAGAAAGTCAAGGGTATCAACGTAGTGTACATGCAGCCGCTTGCGCATCGGCTGGTCCTTTGCTTGAGAATCCGCCCTTGATGTTGCGGCGCTTCAAGACTCGGGAAAGAAGAAGCTAGTTGGCGGTCTTGTGGCCATTGACATTGCTCTGGTTCATGGCCTGCACGCCGGCGTTGAGCTTTCCAAACTGCCACTCGGGCAGGGTGATGCCTGTCTGCTCGTTGATGGTGGTCATCAGCGGCGGCAGCATCTGGTAGACGTTGCGCATGGCGGCCGTGGGATCGCTGCTGCCCGCCTCGCCGGCGCCGCTGGCCCCCGTGTTCCAGACGCTGATCTTGGGCTGCAGGCCGCGGATGGCCTCGGCGTTGGCCTTGGCCAGCTCGACGTAGGTGCCCTTTTCGATCATCATGTACTGCAGGAGGCCGGCGGGCCCGCCAAACGCGCCCGCCAGCTTGGTGTAGGCGTCGGCCATGGCGGAGATTCCCTCGGCCTCCTTGACTTGGCGGAAGGCGCTGGCGTCGGCGCTCTGCTGGGCGGCGTAGTTTTCCGCCTCGGCCCCGACCCGCGTCTTGTAGGCGTCGGCGTCGGCCAGGCGCTGGTTCGCCTCCTGGTTGGCGCGCGCGTTGGCCGTGACCTCGTACGCGGCGGCGTCGGCGGCCTGCTGCTTGCTCTCGCGGGCAATGGTGGCCTGGACCACGTCTTTGGCGCGCAGGCGTTCCATCTCGGCCGCCGCGCGCTTGATCTCGACTTGCTTCTTCAGGTCTTCGTCCTTGGACTCGAGCGCGCGCTGCGCCTCGACGCGCGTCACGTCGACGTCTCGCGTGAGGTGTGTCTGCTGCGTCATGAGCCGGGCCTCGGCCGCCGCGCGCTCAATGTCCCGCTCCGTCTTCTGCACGGCCGTGTCGGCCTGGATCTTGGCGATTTCCCTCTCCTGCTCGCCCTTGCGCTTGGCCTCGCCGACGTTGCCTCGGAGCTGCGCTTCTGCGACGTCGATTCTGGCCTGGTTGGTGGCGCCCTCGTGCGCTTTGCGGGAGAGGGACGCGAAGTAGACGGATCCGGGAGCATCCTTGAGCTCCTTGACACTGTAAAAAAAAGGGTTAGTAAGAGATTGGCAATGAAGGAAAAAGGAAGGGCTGGAACTTGCTTGCTATTGTAGATTTTCAACTAGACTGAGTCAGTATTTGATGTCATGCTTTTCTTCTTTAAAAAACGGCCTCAATGATGGCACTTACACCAAACTGGTCGAGTTCGCCCTGGATGTTGCGAAAAATTCGCTTCTTGAACATCTCCCGCTCAGTGAAGATCTCCTCCATGGTCATGCTCGACACCAGGACGCGGGTTTCGCCCTCAATGATTCCCTTGACGATGCTGGCCACGTGGGCCCTGGCGTCGGTCTTTTTGTCGTCAGAGCCCGCCAGCAGCATGGCATACTTCATGAGAGCGTCGCCGTTATCCTCACGACCGGCAGTCCCCTCGTTTGCCGCTTCCGCTTCCGAGGAGGAGTTGGCGCCGCGGGCATTAACGTCTGGACCGACAGTAAAGACCACGGGAAGCGAAAACTGGAGCTTCTCCTTTGTCATGGCCTGCAGGTCCATGGCGTAGTCGTGCGGCTGGACGCTGAACCGCGTGTAACGCTGGAATGGCCACACCAAGGATGACTTGGTGATCTTGACGGTGCGGACGCGCCATCCCGTAATGGCGAGGTACTCGTCGGGACCGGATACCTTGTAACGTAGCATTGTGGATGACTGTGGTTGCTTGGTGTAATGGCCTTTTGCAAGTGTCAGCTGGGGGAAGATGAAGGAAGCGATGAGGAGTCAGGACGTGGCGGCAAGACGACGAGCCACGAGGAATATATAGACAGGACGCGACGGAATAAATGAACCTTGGGCACTTACTAAATGTACTGTTTGAGTAAATATACTCTGTTATGACTGATCTTTGATGAGAGCTTTTTGGATCAGCTTCGCGTTGTGTTCTCTGTTTCCCAACAAAGGCCTGGCTGGGGTGGCCACTTCCTTATATGTCCTGCCTGGCAGAATATGCCCAAGCAGGCTACACAGTGAATCTCATCAGTCTCGGCTGAAGTCGCGGCACACAACCGACATGTCGCAAACGAAAGACAAGCAAGGCATGCGAAAAGCCTTGGGCTATGTTGGGCTGGCTTGGCTTGGCCTGTGTAAACGCGAAGACCGACCTTTCAAGTCCCAAACGTCAAACTGAACTACTCGCACCAATGGCGAACAAGCGATTCTAGAAACTTGCCCTTTACGGCATCGGTCCTGTAGCTGAGGTAGCATCCTGGTCCGTCTCATTCATGTTCCGCCTCATGGAACACTAGGAACAAGGCTGTGTGCTCTCGTGACAGCTTTATTGGGGTGGAATGTGGAGAAAGGAAACCTGCTTCACCGGCTGGAATACAGAGTAATCTTGTTGGGGTTGGAAGTGCATCTCCGTCGGGCAAACTCTCCTGCCTGCCGCGAGTGAAGTGCAATCAACAGAATGCCGCACCAGCCGCACCTCAGAGCTCAGGTTGTGGTGCACTGCCTCCCGAGGAGATTGATAATATTGCTGCCAATCTGCAGGGCAACATATATCTGCTCTGACTGGCGGGGGCGGTCTCTCCTTGCGTCATGCTCAGGCTTTAGTTTCGTTTGCACAGTCGGTGTAAACTTACTGTACAATGGCATCACATGTGTCTGTTCATATGTGTGGAGTACCTGACCATGCGTTGGCGGATTTTCGACTTTGACATGGCTTGTCAATCCTTGTCATGGGCTGGAGTGAGTCCGCCTCACTTTTTTTTTTGCAATGCTCACGCTTAGTCGGAACTTGGCTCTGTTGTTTTGGGCATCGCCCCGTTCAGCCCAGCTTTCCCCATTGATGGATGGGTTCTTTGATCATTTCCAGACAGTCAAGGCACATGCGTTTGAGCTGTGATGCAGCAGGCCCAAAGCTGAAGAGCCGCCAAGCCGGAGCGCAAACTGCGCCTCCTCCACACAGCCACCACGTTCGGCTTGAACTTGAAAGGCTCGGCCCACGTTGCCTTTGTCCATGACTCCATGGAGCTGGATCCAGTATCATCCGGACAGGTGCATGGCGCGGGGGACATGATTTGCCCTTCAAGTCTTATGGCATTTGTTCTTTCCGTTCAATGTCCGGCACGTGTTCGCTTCGCCCTTTTTGACTGTCGCGGGTCGCGACTGTTGGTTGCATCGCCCGTGCGTGGAATCCTTGTCTGACATGACTGTTGTTTGCTTGCGAGCAGGTCCAGCCCCTTCGCCAAAGGCCGTGTTGGACCTCGAGTTGCAAGGGTGTTTTGAACACCCACCAAACACTTGAGATAGGCAGCTTCTGAAAAAGAAGACCGCCTTTCCCGAGATATTGATCTCCCTGCTGGGACGCCCAACTTTCTCCTCGACTTTCCTCCTTGCCAAATGTCACGACAACCTTTCAAAATGTTCGAAGACGAGGACCAACCGCCACCATACTCTTCCATCGCCCCTGCGGGATCTGTTTCATATTCCTCTGATATCACGCAGAGCCATGTATACGTGCCGCAGAGTTCGTCCCTCTTCTCCGCGCAACTATCTGCTCTCCGGGGCCAGATACTAGAGGAACAAGCCGCTCGGTCATCCGCCCGCGATCAGCAAGATATTGAGACGCTGTCCCTTTTGGTCCCGCACGTCGAGGTTCTTCTCGATTCCATAGCGTCCTACAGTCCACCGCCGACGCTGGTGGAGGCAACCCTTGTGCCGGATGAAGCCATCGGGGGGGAATGGGTGTTTAGCGACAATGAGCAGAAACAGAGCGGCAAAGTGACGAAACTGATACGCGTTGAGAGACACCTCAAAGCAGATGGCGATAAGAAACCGCAGCATCATTCAGCGGCTCGCACATCAGAGGCGGGCGGCCCCAAGGAATTTGATGAATGGGGCCGTTGGTCCGACGACGACGAGCAGCGCATCATATCGGGGCCCCGGGACGAATTGTGGTGGTCAGACGAAGACATGGCGAAGCGGTTAGCCAAGCATCTCGAGCCAGCTCGTGCAACTGCGTCTGTTGATCGTCAAACGGTTCGGGCCCAGGCGGAACGGAACAAGGCGACCAAGATGGCTGGCCGTTGGTCCATGTTCAAGAAGGACGAACCAGCCAAGACGGCGGCGCCGACTGCGTCTCCATCTTCGACAACATATTGGAAACCTTTGGATGACGTTTGGATGACGGTGAATGCGGAAGAAGCGACGTTTCGAAAACAGAGCGAGATGGGTATCTGGGAGAGCCGGACGGGTTGGGGGCTAGTGGTGAGGGTGAACCTGCGGCGGCTATGATGCGACTGGGAACTCTGATCTCTCCGGTATAGGAGGGGCATGTATTGCGATTGAATGAATAATACGGATGTGCAAGATGTCAATCGGGGCTTTGAAGGGATGTGAACACTGAATGTCTTGTTCCTGATTTCGGAGACTCCACCGAGTCCACTCTCAGGTTCGGCCAACTGTCAGACGGCCGGTGACAGCCGGCAGCCACGTCCTCGAGGATAACTGACCTGTGATGGTTTTTACATGGATGACAATATCGGTCAATTCGTATATCTCACGATGATCCACTAGTTTTGTCTCCGTTGGCAGCAGTTTGCACCTCTGGGGACCGATGCCAAGGTTCGGATCGGCTGTTGACTCACTCGCCGCCTGGAAATGCCCAGCCGCCCCACTGGTTCTACGGGCTCCGGCGTGAACCAGACCAGAGAAGTTGCCATTCTTTCTGCACGGAACAGCGTTGTGACTGCAATTGGGTGCCCGGCTTCTGTCCCATTTTCCAATAGAGCGGAAGACAGAAACAACAACTATCCCGACCAAAAAAGGGACATACAAATAGCGCCGGCTGCGATTGGATTCCTCCATGGTCAAACACAGACACCAAAGTCAACACAGAATGCCTCATCACGATGTCCTCGTCACCGGCTCGTCGGGCCATCTCGGCACGGCATTGATGCTCACACTGCCCTCGCTGGGCTTCAACCCCGTCGGCATCGACATCCTCGCCTCGGAAACAACCCAGCACGTGGGATCAGTCAGCGACCGCGCCTTGGTGTCGGGCATTCTGCAAGCCAACCCGATCAAGCACGTCCTGCACACGGCCACCCTCCACAAACCCCACGTGGAAAGCCACACCAAGGAGCAGTTTGTCGAGACCAACATTACCGGAACGCTGGTCCTGCTGGAGGAGGCAGCCAGGCTGGGCAGCCAGGTCGAGAGCTTCGTGTTCTTCAGCACAACAAGCAGCTTTGGGCTGGCGCTGAGCCCCGAGCCCGGGTCGCCGGCGGCGTGGATCGACGAGGCCGTCGTGCCGGTGCCCAAGAACATCTACGGCGTGACCAAGGTGGCCGCCGAGGACATGTGTGCCCTTGTGCAGCGGCAGACGGGGATGCCGGTGCTCGTGCTGCGGACCAGCCGCTTCTTCCCGGAGGAGGACGACGACGGGGACAGGCGGCGCGCCATGGGCGACGACAACCTCAAGGTCCTGGAGCTGGCGTACCGGCGGTGCGACGTGGAGGACATTGTCTCCGCGGCGGTGTGCGCCATGGGCAGGGCGCGGGATGTCAAATGGGCCAAGTATATCATCAGCGCGCCGCCGCCCTTCTCCCGCGATGCCGAGACGCTGGCTCGCCTGGACTCGCGGCCCGAGGATGTGTTTCGGAGCGTGGCGCCGGGGGTGGACGAGGTGTTTGGGGCCAGGGGGTGGAAGCACCTCGCGAGGGTTGATAGGGTGTACGACTCGAGCAAGGCTGTGCGCGAGCTGGGCTGGCGGCCGAAATGGACGTTTGTGGAAACGATGGAGAGGCTGGCTAGGGGGGAGGCGTGGAGGAGCGAGTTGACCGACAGGGTTGGCAAAAAGGGCTATCACGCTGTGAGCACGGGGGTTTACACGAAGCGATGAAGTGGGCGAAGCATGACTGGAGATTGGGTTGGAAAGACGCAATGTCTGTTGTGAGCTGGGGGGTCGTGGCATATAGTCTGTAGTCGCCAAGATTGAAATATTGTCTATCAGATGGCTCTCCAAGTCTAGTGCTCGTTACGCATGCTCCATCTTGCGCGGCCTGGGTGATTCCTCATTCATCACGAGTGTGTCGCAGCCTCAAGCGGTCAGCATGTCCCCGTGGCCCTGCTCCCTCAACACCTGATGGACAGCGTCCAACACCCTGCCGTGAAGATGCTCCGGCGCGGCGACAAAGCCAAAGTTGGCGCTCAACTTCCTGCCCGCGGCCAAGTCGATCCGCCGGCCCAGGACGTCTGTAATCTTGCCGCCCGTCTCCTGGAACAGGAGCATGGCGCCCGCGTGATCCCACACCTTGGCGTACCGATCCCGCCGCTTGTACACCCATACGGTCGTGTTCCCCAGGCCGAGCGCGAGCGTCGCCCAGCGCAGAACCCACGGCACCAGATCGCATCCCGGGAACGCTGCAGCGCCCAGCCTGTCGGCGACAGCTTCGTGCACGCCGTCCAGCGCCGAGTCCGCCATGCCGACGCATGTGACGAAGCGGACGTCGTCTCCCTCTCGGGCGGCGGAGAGTGGCCTCACGACGGCGTCGTCGGCCGCCATCGACCGCACGTAGGCGCCGTGCCCGCGGACGGCAAACACGATGCAGCCACGGCCCAAAGGGTCAATGTCTCGATTCCCCAGGGGCGCCGCCGCATCCATGGACATGTTGGGGCAGCCGACGGACCCGAGGACCTGC